GAGTTTTGGATTCGGTCTTTTTCTTCTAAGTTCTTTCTCCCTTTTATGCTTCATAGGCGATCCCTTTGTGATTAACTGCTCTAAAAGAAACTGCTTGATCGCCCTATAACTACCCACTTTCTTTGTAGTGGCCATTTTATCATGAAACTGTCTTTTTAACTGTTGTCATTATCTTGCATCGTTCAACCACTTTCGATTCAACCCCTTGAGTCGTGGAACGTGATAAAGTCACTTTAGCAATTGCCTCAATAACTGCATCATAATGCGTTATGTTTGTTGATACCTTGGGCGACTTGAAGATTTGGGCGAGACTCTGGACGACCGTCTGCCATTCTATTCGTTCAGACTCTGAGCGACTTGCAAACTTGGACGATGGCGTTATCACACTATTGGGCCCCTTATTTGGGCATTCACCTTGACTCGTTCAATTGGATTTCGTTCTTTGGGCTATCTGATTTGGGGATCCTTCAATTGGGCTTTACTCTCTGGGCTGTTCGATTTGGGCTGAATTTTTATGTGTCAACAGTATCGATCAACTCAACGGGTAGCAGCTATTTGTCTTAGAACTATCTAGAAATTGTAATTTATTTTATGTTCGTTAATAGAAATGTAACACATCCAAGTAATGCTAAAAGACAAAAAAACTATAGGTTTGAGAAATGTACAAGGAAAGCAAGTATTAGAAATAGTCAAATTATTGCTCTCCATCTCGTTGAACTTTACTTGCACGCCGATCACCACTAGAAAACTTCAATATAAGAGCATCGATGGCGGAAAAAATGCCTAAAGAGGTGGTGAGGTGAGGAGGTAACTAAGAATTCATTAGTCTCTATTTATTTGAGGTCAACATGTTCATTGATATCTTCGACTTTATCGAATGCATCATTGTATAGTCTAAATTTGTAAATACATTTTCTCTTGTAAATAATTCTGTGAGACAAATTAATTAGCCGGCAATTGACCTAATTAATTATTACTTAATAAAAGCTTAAACAAGAATAAACATGGAGAAAGTGACTATCTATCAAGTCTGACGTGATGGATCTCAAAGAGTCAGCAGTTTTTTTTTTTTTTTTTTTTTTATGTTTTTTCTCCAGAATTTAGGTAAATTAATTATTGTGATATACTGTTCAAAGGTCTGCTCTTAATTGTGGACTGTTCTTTCTCTTATTAAAAAATTGGCAATTTCAGGCTTCAATTATTGATAAACATGGGCGGCTATGATTAACTTGATGTTTAATTTGCATTGGGGATATGATGTGATTTTGCATACCGGATAGGATAAAATGAATATAGCTGGATTTTTCTACATAATAATATATTGTTAAAATCGATCCCCATAATGTGTTAAAATCGATGTTCAATTTCACATCAAATCAACTGAAGGCATATATAGCATAGGGCTGGTTTTGTACACTATGGTGGTGCAAATTGAAGGTTCAGGGAATAAAAATAGCTGCGAAAGAGTTATCAAAGTTATTTCGAGATTTTAGCTTCTGTTTAGTTTGGATAAAAATAAGATTATTAGTAGAATTTGATTAAAAAGTGAGAGAGAGAACATGATGAAATGTGTGATTGAATAATGGATAAAATTTATTTCATAAAATGTATGGATGAAAATGAATTTTTTTTAAAAAAAAATTAAAAATTGGGATAAAACATGGACTTAAGAGTACAAAGAAACTGTAAAGAGTGTGTAATTTGTGCTTATAAGTTGGATACTTTATTTAAAGGGAGATACTATATGTATCAAATCATTTACCAAATGGATGATCGAATTGACAAGTGTCGCGTCCTTATTGGAGTGGATAGGCGCTCCTCCAACAAGGGGCGCCATTTGTCAATTTGATAAAAAATTAGGTAAGACATTTGGTACAGATGGATTAATTCTTATTTAAATATCTTTCATCAATTTGTAGTTCCTTATTTGATTAACTCAATGAATTCAAAGTAAAAATATTGAACATTATTTTTAGTGAATTTAACATTGGTGACTATAAATTTAGTCTGGTGTAAGTTGAGATACCTGGATATCAAAAAAAACAAAAAAAACAAAAAACAAAAAACCATGAGTGTTAAGTAAATGTGATGAGTGATCAAATAGAAATGACCTCATGGAATAATTTTCCTGCCGTTAAAATAGGGATGGCAAAAAATCCAATCAACCAAGATCCACAATCCCCAGATTCGAAGGTTGGCAGGGCGAGTATCGACCCATTGTGTCCTATTTAGTATTATTTTAGAAAAAATTCAAAGATAAACATAAAAAAAAAATTATAAATATTAAGGAATAGAGATACATGATAGCAAATTTTTCTATTACTAATTGTCGTAAGTATCTATGTTCAACTCGATATAACTACAAGAGTAAATAAGATTTTATGTAACGAGAAGTTGAAATTTTTGAAAAAGACAACCTAACTTTTTCAGATTTCATATTTAAGTTTTGCAAATTAGGGATTTCCCAAAAATTTAAGCTCGAAGTCATTACTTATATTATATATAGCACTTCCAGCCAAACCAAATTAATTTATCCGAGTTAGGCTTGTCATCGAAGGATTTTAGTAAAATCAGAAGAATTAGGGGCTTGGGTTTATTAAGGGATAAAAATCTCACATCAGTTAAATACTGAAATATTGACCAACTTAAAAAGATCTTGAACTACTCCTCTTAACAAGGTTGACCTTATTAAGATGGACCACAAATCTTCACATGGTATTAGAGCTCAATAAGCTCCAACAAACTATTCGATCCAATTAAGTTTTAAAAATGAGCACACAGATTTCAAAATTGGTCTGCTCAAAAAAGAACCGCCATCTTCCGGAGGCATAAGGGAATAAATCTCATATCGGTTAAATATCGAAATATTGACCAATTTAAATAGATTTTGGACAACTCCTCTTAAAAATGTTGACCTTATTAAGATGAACCCCAAATCTTAATAAGGTGTCAGAGCAGGTGTCAGACCAGATTCAATTTTGAAGAAATCAATCCTTGAATTTCATTTCCGACGGCCAAACATTTTTCGCTTTTCAAAATCTGTACTGCATCTTAACTAAGGGTCTCGTTCTATTTAGTTTGGCTAAAAGTAATATTATTAGTAGATTTTGATGAGAGAGAGAGAGAGAGAGAGAGAGAGAGAGAGAGAGAGAACATGATGAGATGTGTGATTGAATAATGGATAAAATTTGTTTCATAAAATGTATGGATGAAAATGAGGTTTAAAAAAAAGTTAAAAATTGGGATAAAATATGGACTTAATAGTATAAAGAAACTGTTAAGTCTGTGTTTGTCAATCATTCTACTACATTATTTTTTCTACCGTAATCATTTTCAATCAAACATTCTTCATTAAAATAATATTACACATAAATTAAAAAAATTTCCTTTGTTTTTAACCACACATTTCAACAACAATCAATATTTCATAATATACTTTTTGAAATTAATGGGGGCACAAACAGGCCTAAAAGTGTGTATGGTGAGGCTACTTTTTAATTTGTGCTTATAAGTTGGATACTTTATTTCAATATCTTTCGTCAATTTGTAGTTCCGTATTTGATTAATTCAATGAATTCAAAGAAAAAATATTGAATATTATTTTTTTATTAAGTTTAAAATTGAGTGACTATAAATTATTCACATCTTAGAATATTAACTCAATGCACCCCTCATCCCCCATAGAAAAAAAGAAATAAGGAAAAAAAAAAAAACACATGAGTGTTAAGTAAATGTGATGAGTAATCAAATGGAGATGACCTCATGGAATGATTTTCTTGCTGTTAAAATAGGGATGGCAAAAAATCCAATCAACCAAGATCCACAAGCCCCAGATTCGAAGGTTGGCAGGGCGAGTATCGCCATTGTGTCCTATTTAGTATTATTTTAGAAAAAAATTCAAAGATAAAAATAAAAAAAAGATTATGAATATTAAGGAATAGAGATAGATGATAGCGAATTCGTCTATTACTAATTTTCGCAAGTATCTATGTCCAATTCGATATAACTACAAGAGTAAATTAGATTTTATGTAACGAGAAGTTGAAATTTTTGGAAAAGACAACACGGCTTTTTCAGATTTCAGATTTTAGTTTTGCAACTTAAGAATTTTCCAAAATTTTAAGCTCGAAGTCATTACTCATTATATATAGCACTTCCAGCCATACCAAATTAATTTATCCAAGTTCGGCTTGTCATAGAAGGATGTTGGTAAAATCAGAAGAATTAGGGGCTTTGGTTTGTCAAGTGACATGATTTATTTAATTTTTCGCCTATTCTTAGAGCATCGGTCGATCCTAGAAATGGTGACAGCAGCTCGAGGAGTTTACGGCTGAACATGTTATACATACAATTTTCTCCAACAAGTTAAATAATGATAATAAATAAATAAAGAACTAGTATAGTTACAATAATTAAACAAAAATACATATGATATTGTAATTATTCAGAATTAAAGGCTGCATATAATTATGAAATTCAGAACGTAAGATTAGGCAGGTAGCTAGTTCAAACTGAAAGTACCTACACAGACGCCGTTTCGACCTCGAAATGCATCCACGCCTGCAACTTATTATTTTTTTTTTTCTTTTAGTTAATATACTCTTTTCCGAGTTCTGATAATGTCTAAAGTGACGCTGGATCAGTTTCAGAAATGCCCAGATCTTGAAAATCAAAGTTCGATAAGTTTTCTTTTGGTGTTCAATTCTCACTTTTTAGGGTTAATGCATGTCTACGTAAACAGGTTTTATATGAAAAAAGCTCTAGGATTTGAAAGCATGAAAATATCCCTGAATTTTAAAGTTAAAATTCATCTGAATTTTTCCCGGAAAATCAATTAGTGTCCGTAGTTTTCAGTTCGAGGAAATTGGGTAATAAATTTTGTTATCGATCAGCTTCTGTGGCCAATTGATCTTTAATTAGTTAGTTTATTAATGTATAACTTCTCTCTTTCATTTCTTTAAGATTAATTATCATTCTTTTTACTGTTTTTGCAGATGATTAATTTGCAATGAATAAATTTTGAGTACGTTGTTTGCGAATTTTAAGCAGTTCGTAGTCTTAATACCCTCGAATCTTCCAATTTCTCCTTAGCTAGAATGGATGTTTTACTTCAAAATGGCAATATAAATACTATCCAACGTGCGAGTGATCTCCTTATGTCGGTCTCAGTTTGTGCTGAGACACACAAGGAAAAAATAATCTGTCAATCTTTGGCAGCAAGTGAAGAGCTAAAGAAAATGGCGCAAGAACGAGAACCCTTATGGGTTTTTGATCTAGACAGGAGTCTCGAGGTTCTGAATTTCACCGAGTACAACCGAAGATTTTCATCGCTCGATCCAACTTTGGAGGAGATAATCAGAGTGATTACAATGGGTGGAGGGCCTGAAGAGCTTCCAAACTTCAATGAAAATGTAGAAATTATTCAAACTGAAAGTGGATCCACACAGCCCTGTGAATCTGAAGCATCCAGGGCAATTGGGGTTGTTTCCAGCAATCCAGTTGGTCTTGTGAATATGTTCATGGATGTGGTGAGTTTTCTTTCTTTTCTTTTCTTTTTTTTTTTCCTGTATATAAAAGGATAGGATACGCTCTGCAAGATGGTCCCTTGTTCGAGAACACTAATATTGGAATAAAATTGCTCGTTTAAGGTTTTAAGTGATGTGGGATTTTACCTTTGACAATGTATACATATCTTTCTTTTCTTTTATATCAGAATGAGTGGTCGAGAATTTTCTCCAATATAGTATCGAAGGCCCAAAATCTTGGAGTTATATTGAAAGGACAGCAGGAAGACCCTGATGGAGTTCTACAAGTGGTATTCAAACGTTTGGATCAAAATTCGGAGATTCTGGTGCTAATATAATACAGACATATTTGATACGTTGGACAAGACATCAAGGAAGACAAAGGTCTTCAATCTAGCCTTGTGTCTAGTCGAGCGTACCGAATATGTCTTACACATTTTTGTTTTCAATATGCTAAGAGAGAACCATTGTCAGATGGTGGCAGAGTTTCATTTTCCTTCTCCACTTGTTCCGAGTCGAGAGATGTATTTTGCAAGGTGCTGTAGGCAGCTGGATTTTGACACTTGGATAGTAGCCGATGTTTCTTTGGAGAATATTTTTCCAAACCCAGCAGTAAAATGTCAAAGAAGGCCATCAGGCTGTTTAATTCAAGCATTTCAAGAAGGATTGTCCATGGTAATTAATGAAAATCCTTTTCAAATATTGACAGGGACAAACAAACAAATTTTTTCCTCTAACTAATGTTTGTGTTGATCCTAAACTCCCTAGGTTACTTGGGTGGAACACAATGCAGTATGTAATAATCTGGTTCATGATATGTTTGTTAAACCCGTCTTTGCATTCGGCGCAAAGCGCTGGATTTCATCATTAGAGAGGCAATGTGACAGAAATGCAACATTATTAATCCATAACAAAGGTACTGATTTTATCCTTTGTTCTCGAGAATCTGTATGTCCCTTATTTTGCTTCTTTTTCTCTCTCTTTTTACAGCCTAAGTTAGCGCAGTATTTGTTTGTGTATTTTCACTAGCCAGGGCTTGGAACATCAGGGAACAGTCTATTGAATTTGGCAGAAAGAATGGTTAGAAGCTTTAATGCCAATATTTGCTCAAACCAAGAAAATAAATGGAGACAAGTACCTATAGAAGGTGCACAAGACACCCTAATCAAAACAAGCCTTAACATTGATAAGCCAGGTGTACCTTGTGGCGTCTCAGTAACCATTGCAACTTCGTTACATCTCCAAGTTCGACAGAGTGACGTGTTCCACTTTTTTCGCTGTGAGCAAAATCGAAACAAGGTACATATTTAGCATTAGGCTTATGAATAATTTAGATAAATGAGTACAGAATTAAGCAGATTGATTAATGATTAGTACATTTTTATGTACTAGTGGGATATACTTTCCTATGGCTTGACAATTCGAGACATTACATGCATTTCTTCTGCTCGCAACTCAACAGATTGCATATCAGTGGCTCTAGTGGAGGTAAGTCGTAACATATTTGCAAAATACTCTGAATCACATATACATTCGTAAAGAAATGCTCAATTTTTGCAGCCAACTGAAAACAGAAATGCAGTTGCATACTTGCACGAAAGTTTCTACGATTCAACAGGCTACTATGTAGTATACGCGCCAATTGACATCTCTGCAATGGACCATATTATGGAAGGCAAAAATTCAGATAATGTTTCAATATTAGGCTCAGGATTTGCAGTCCTCCCTGGAAGAACTGATAGGGAAAGTATACTCACTATTGGATTTCAGATTATGGATGAAGAGCTAACGACACCAGAGTACCTGCCGCCACAATCAGTGTTAACAGCACACAGACTTATGAAAGAAACTACTTCTCTTATTAAGGCTGCAATCATATCCTAGATTTGATATTTTTTCACGAACATCCCTAGTTTGAACATTGTTTACGATTTAGGGTTTAGGGCTCAAGAAGTTCGATTTATTTATTTTGTTGGCAACTGACAAATAAATTTTTTTTCACCATTGTTTCTCCCTCACATGGGGCACTCCAAATCTATTCAACAAAAAGCCAGTTTCATCAAGGAAAAATTACAATTTATGGTATCTTCGTCTTTTACGAATGGGTCTTCAACACATTTAGCCCTCTAACATTGTCTTGCACATGTTATCTTAACAGAAATATGGACCATTTCATCATTTGGACTAATTTTATAACTTGGTTTTAGGGATAGTTGGTGCAAAACCCTCCTACATCTGCCAAATTATACGGAATAAACCTTTTCTTTTTCTTTTTCTCCATAAAGCCTTGTGAATAATGAATTTACCCTCCTATGTAAATAAACAAACAAATAAATAAATAAAGAATTAATTGCAGTACCTCTTAGACCAATGGTGCTTGTAAACACAATGTTCTTGTAGAAAATTCATTTGTACGTGGAATATATTTGTTCAACATATTATCTGAAAAAAGATCATTGACGAACTCACAGGATTTGGATGGTATAAAGGATGAATTTACAATTGATATCAGGTCAGCATCCACTAATTAACTCAGAATGAAGGAGTTAAGAAGCACAGTTTTTGTGGTCGAAAGCGTGAAATTATTTTGTACCTCTTGGCTCTTCTTTAGCAATAAAGTCGTATAACTTGCATAGTGTAGAGTTTAAAGTGTAGTATACAAAAGACTATTACAACTACAATGCGGAAAATATAAACTCTCTAAGCGTAAAAACCAACCAAACGACCAAAAACTTCTTCAACACCACCAATAGAGTCTCCTATGATGTTAAGCTCAGATTTGTGTCACACCAGATCATACACCATCGTTCACGGAAATGACAATGGATATACCAAGAAAATATCCACCGAAAGCTACCAAGAATTTCGCTGGAGATATAGAATGTTCCCACTTGGTTATCTCTCATTTTTTTTCTCTCTCCAATGTTATGCCAAATCTAAAAAGAAGAGAATTGAAAAGTCTTGTAATTATAGAGTCAATCCATTTGAATTCAAAATTCAAATATTGTACTATGGTCAAATAGAAAGTGATAACAATGGTATATGATAATTGACCACAAGATTAAATCTAACCATTGAATTTAATCTATGGTCCATATTATTCCTATACTAACACAATCTACTTCACACTCTCTAGACCAATCAACTTACCCGAACTATAGGGTGTGATCCACCTTACACATAGGTTTCCACTTTTGTTAATTATTACTCTCGCAAGTAGGAATTACGGCTTGATAATGACAAAGAAATGCCATATTCTACTCCAAAATCTTATCCGATACTCCTTAATATGCACTATAATATATACAAAACAAAAAACTTTACAAAATATTCTATAAACTTTTCAATAAACTGGTCTTGTGTTCATTGAAATCGGGTTGGATATCCAACAACAGAATCAGATGATTTCATTTATACAATTTTCATGTCTTTCTAATAATCATCTGGTGTATTATTTCCAGTATTTTTTGCAGATGATTCTTGTGCTTCTTCTTCTTCATTTTTCAGCTTGGCTCTTGCCTACAGATAGATAGTCTAAAGCAGTTACAATGTCGCCGATCAAAGGCCTTGTAGAAGCTTCTTCTTGGAGACACATAGCCGCAACCACAAGAGCTTGAGAGAGTGCCTTTTCTGGGTAGTTACCCTCGAGCAATGGATCCGCCATCAAATGGAACTTTTTCTTGTCTTTGAACAAAGGTTGTGCCTGCCATTTACGGTATATAGAAACATTAATCTCTCAGGAATATTTTTAACACCGACATTTTCGAGTTGTTATTGAGAAGTCTTGAGATTTTCTAACGTACCCAAGTAATTAAGTTTTTCTCTTCACTCGGTCTTGAATTGTCAATGACTCTCCGACCTGTGATTAACTCCAAAAACACGACCCCAAAGCTGTACACATCTGACTTTGTAGTCAACTTACCTGTGGATGCATACTCGGGTGCACAATAACCATAGGTTCCCATCACCCGGGTAGAAACATGTGTTTTGTCACCAGTAGGACCTAACTTGGCAAGGCCAAAATCAGAAAGTCTCGGGTTAAAGCTCTCGTCTAAAAGTATATTGGATGCTTTAAAATCTCTGTAAATCACTGGAGGATTAGCTGTCTCGTGCAAATATTCAAGTCCTTTTGCTGCTCCTGCTGCAACTTTTATCCTCGTGTTCCAATCAAGCGGCTTTTTGTCCGGACCTATATCTGGAAAGAAAAGATGGGCTAATCAGCATTTTTACATGTAAAATGAACAGACAAGTCTTTGATGAGTCGAGATAGCATCGGAAAAGTTGTCGGACATACTTAGGAGATGATCCTCGAGTGAACCATTGGCCATGTACTCGTAAACTAGTATTCTCTGGTCACCATCTGAACAATAGCCTACTAAATTTACAAGGTTAGGGTGGTGAAGAAGACTCAAAATCAGAACTTCCACGAGGAATTCACGATTTCCTTGGAACCCATTTCTGTCAAGTTGCTTGACTGCAACATCCTGTTAAATGTCAACACGAGAGAAATGGAAAAGAAATGTTAAAAATGGAGCATTTTATTATGCAACTGTGTTAAGTTTAGAAGACGATGAGAATGAAAGTAATAAATGGCAAGGATGGCCGAATTACTATATTTTTGCTTTCGATATGACCCTTGTACACCCTCCCAAAACCGCCTTCACCTATCAAAGTCTCGGTGTTGAAGCCTTGTGTAGCAACACTCAACTCATGAAACGTAAAAATCTGAGCAGAAATATTCCCCTTTCCGAGTTTTTCTATTTCTTCGGTTATATACCTTCTCCTGCTACTATCTGCATTTCCTATAATAAATCAGTTCTATACATCTTAAAGAAGGTTGAAGTAATACGAAAAATTGGTTCAACTCACTAGCAATATTGTTATGAAAACCAAGCATTTTGGTCTTAAATTTTGGTATTCAAATAAAACATAAGAGTAAGTTTGGAAATTTGAGATGAATTTTCCTCCGCTTAGCCTTATCCCATCTTATTTGGTCAAATACCTAATGACAGACTCGTCTATTCCTTTTATAAAGGTATTTATAACCAAGTTCTTAGATATCAGTATTGATGATAGTGACGATATCAATGAAATTCACAACCATGGGCTTCTACCTCCACGTGGCATTGCTCCATCAGGCGTTCGCCCCATTGTGGAAAATTCCCAAACGCTGCTGATAGGAGTTAGAATTGCTATCCATATGAATGTGCTAAATATAGATTTGATGCTAGAAAACGCCTATTTTATCTATCATTCTTCAATTCAAATTAGCAAGAGTAATGTCACCTTGCATTAAACATTTTGCAATCGGATTCATTTCCTAACACTGTAACACAAGCCTTCATTAATTGTTGTTAACCATGACAGCATATTTGTGAGTTCTTCTTTCCTTTTTGAACATAATCAAATAAACATTCTTATAATAGAAATAACAGATAAATTGGAATAAGTGAAGTCCAAGATCCCAAAAAAAGGATTTAACCCGAGTTTGGTTTGCTGAAAATTATATTTTTAGTAGATTTTAATAAAAGTTAATGAAACGTGCATTTGAAAAAGTGATAAAAGTTGTGAATTCCAAAGTGTGGTTGAAAATGAATCTTAAAAAGGGGGGCAAACAAGGGCTTAACGAAAATCTGAAAACAAGTTACATGTCTATTTTTTCGTGCACTGTGAAGTGTCAAGAAGATGTTATAAACGCAATGAGAATGAATCGTAAGAAAGATATGAATCATCAAACAGGACAAGAAACGAGGAACTAAGGGACACGAAT